TCATGGCACTGAATTTTCTGTTAGAAAAAAGGCAGTTAGCAATAATAGGCCAAAATTCGCGGGCTTGAAAAAGGCAATTTGTCATAATATTTGGAAAACTTTCCAGAAAATAAGTAATTACAAAGTCTCTTTTTTTCATTGAACTCTGTAATATATTGCTACCTCGACCGTTTATTCTACATTAAGAATATTGGCGGTATATCTACTAATTTCACCTGTTAGATGTGCTTCAATTAGTGGCCAGAAGATCGCGAATTTCAGTATATGAAGGGACCTGCATTCAGTATAAAAACCGGCATTTGCGACGCATGTATAAAGCTTTTAGTCGTACGACTGTTTACCAAAACATAAATTTACAAACATCTTTACTGAACTTATTAAGAAAATCAAAATATAAAAGGCGTTGGTATAACCAGTTAAATCATTTTATTTAAATTTACTTGTATTAATTAAATTAATTAATACGTAGGTATTGATGTAAGATTGGTACATAAAATAGCCTTCAATGTATAAAGGTTGACGTACATACGTTCGAACACACAGCTGTATTTGCCAAGCGCAAACTCTTGCTGCAGAAATTCAACTGCGCATTATGTAAATATCTATTTACATAGTTTATAAACACTTTAGGAGAATAAGGAGATCTATTTGGAATGATGACATCATATCGCCTTTAAATGATATTCCAAAAATATAATTGAATTTTCAATAACTACATAGTTCGTGGTTATGGTATCTACTCCGATAGTTAGTGACAACATTTTATCGGATATGAAGATATTAGTTGCATTTGTACGTCTTTATGCAACTAATAAGAGGGCTCGAAATATTCTATTCAATACATCTAAGGTTTTCTAATTTTGCATGCACATCAAATACAATCTGATCTATTAATACAAACACTTATCACTGGTCTTATATCAGCTAATTTCAAGTTGATAGCAGTACTACAATTCGTGGTCAAATATGCAACATTAATTTCTAGAAGCGCGCGAGGGTTGTCTGTCAAACCGAAGCAATACGAGTCACTGAATGAAATATCGCGTCTCAACTACGGGAAATTCGGGTTCATCTGCAATAGTCAGATTGCATATCCTTGGGCTCGTTAATGTCTTGGCATTCCAAACATTCATTCCAAACAAAATTAACAAGCAGTTAATAAGCTGTTTATCCAATAATTTCCTATTGTGCAATAGAAGCGTCTCCCTTATGTAAACCCAATTCTGTAACTATATAATGAGGTCATTTTAGCCAAGTATTAATGAAGTCAGTTTGACCTAAATATTATTTAGTATATAATCAAGTCACAGTTTTTTGGGGCAAGTATTTTCTTCATATCCCTATCATTATGTATAGACTGGGAACAGTGGTTAACCACAGACATGATGTTCGTTGGTTTTAACACTATTTTGGTTGCTACATCTGCAGTGTCAGTATGGGCACCAGTAGCTGTTGGTGATGTTCTCAACAATTGTTGGAAAAATGAAGAAAACAGGCCTTTTCCTAATCAGATAAATGATGGACAGGATGCGCTTAAGAGGCGTATGGCAACATGGATTTCAAATATTAACTGCGCTAAGGCTGTTGGTCGACAAGTAGGCGTTTTGGGATTAGGGACTGCTGGTTTTAGGTATATAGCTGGTATGAACAAACGTGAAGAACATGATGTAATTAGTTTGGGATACAGGCCAATAACTCCAAATACTATAGACTTTATGTGTTTGGCACAAGATTTGTCACTTTTGAAGTAGATGACAATAGTAAATGAATATCATTCCAATGCGCGTTTTGCTTGAAATTTTGATGCCTATAAGATTAATTATATCCCAAATTCCTCTTGTGGAGAGCCAGCTCACCGGTATACATATTCTTTTATTCATTTTAATTCAGGTTAATTTATGGATACAATAACTTCACGAGCATCATTGACCCAACTACTATGGTGGAGAGGTCATGTTTAATACTTACTGTATTAGATCGTCTACTATTTCCCAAGAAAACCAAACCGCCTGTCAATATAGTCATGCCTAAATTTTGAACTAAGCCTTCACTGCTACTTTGGCAGTTACCATCAGGCTCTTTTTTATCCGACATGCATTTACCACATGCAGCAAACACTTCAGCACCCACTTTAACTGTGTAGTACACAAATGATGCCCACAAGGTTATTTTTCTCCACATCAAGTTGTTGTCTCTTGCATAACCAACTACTCCGTTAACAGCGTCATAAAAAGGTTGTTCCCTCTTCTCCGCTTCCTTTTCATCAATATCTTTTTGGATTGTGCACAGAGTTCCACTTGCAATTAATGAAATTGCAAGTATTAATAAAGGAAAATTCATGTCCTTAAGGTCGATACAGCTATATTAACATTTTAACAAGTTGAAGTTTATACAAAATTTCAGCATTTCAAACTAAATTGTTTTTGCTCGTCGGTGAAAGAAAATTTTTTTGGCGCGACAATAGTAAATGAATCATGACACTGAGCGTATTGCTTGAAAATGCGATTGATTAGTAGATTTTGTGGGATTAGCGGTGATTAGTGAAAAAAAGGTTAAAATATTGAAAAGAATAACCTAGTGGGAAAAGTGAGAAGGAAATGAGAGAATCTTTGGAATAAAAGGTTATATTAATTTGATTTCAGACCAGGGTATAGTCATATTGGAAGGGTTGAAAAATTTTTACTAAGGTATTTAAGTCATAATATGCGCGCGCACAAAATCAATTTTTCCGCCTAAGCATCATGACGTAATGAACAATATCTAAATAAACGATTATCAAAAGCTGCATAAAAAACAACAATCTTTCAAATTATCTATTTATAGTAGGAAGCAAATATTTTTGACTTAGGCTTGACAAATTAATTAGAACATATCACCGTCCTGTTTGGAAATCGGAATATCGGCGTGTCTAGTTGTTCCCCAACCAGTATAGGATACTGATCCGGCATGACAGTCAGCAGAGTAAACAGTACGTACACGTTCTTGCTTATCCATCCATATATAATGCTGCAGATACCACAATGATAAGGCCCAATCGATGGAATCAAAATTACAAGTGTAAGTTGTACTCTTGGAATATGTTTTTGATACCGAGTAGCCCATGTGAGCATTAATCCAATCCACTCCAAAATTGATATCAAATCCTGCTTCATGGGTTTCAGTTTTTGAGAAACTGTACAGCAACGCTATCAGACCTCTCCGACCAAGACCCGATTGTAAGCAATTACTGATTTTTTCCCAGTCCCCATACCAGTTACCTCTTTTGTACATACGTTTTTCTGTTACACGAGATGTTTGGCACTGGGGTATACAGGCAGCTCCAACACCTACACACCTCTTTTGGATACTGTTGCTGGTGTTATTGCTTTCAATCACTTCTCCATAAACTGAGAAGTCATCATATGTATAAACAGTATCTACCGGTAAAGTACTAATAATATTATCAATCGCATGCTGTTCGTTTTGGAGGTCTCTCTTTGACAAAATGTCTAAGTTGATGACATTGTCATGTTCATACCAGATACGCATTGGCTGATTATTAATAATGCCATCAAAATAATCAATTTATACGTAGGCGTAGCATTTATTGTAGCCATTGAACTTTTTGTTGAATTTCTAGCTGCTTCAATCTGTTCTCTGTATCTAGGTCCATAGCAACTGAATACGGAATTAACTAATTCTTCGTATGGGTTAGTAATATTCACAGCATCGACTCCGTTACACATAGCCCCTTCAAGAGTAAAGTATGAACCATTAGTTGAGAAATTCTCAAACGTAAAATTATAGTATGTGGTCATTTATTTAAAGAATAAAACAAACTACCGAACAAAGAACAAAGGCAGAACCTTAATTTCAGTGGTACCTAAGCTTTTATATAGATCCTTAACTTTTGCTTTATCTTTTTTTAAAAAATGCCGTGCATACTCATACATATTATGTTAACCTGGTCATATTCAAAAACATTTACGTCAAAAACTTTTTCATTGATTTTAAACTATAATCAACAAGGAATTTAAAGAAGTAAGTACTCTAAACCATTTGGCTTATATGATAATTACATATTCATCCTTATATACGCATGTATAAGAATATTTAATTTTTGATTCAATTGACTTTTCTTTTACGTAGAATGCTCTTTTAGATCCATGTGTCGTGTATGAATCAAGATAATGCAAAGTAAACAATAGGCCCCAAATAGTAGTCTTTTTCCTAAGTCTTGGCATTGAAACTACGAGCGTACAGCTCATCAATATCAAGAATCTTATTATACCCTGCAATTGAGCGCACTCTGCCAAGCCCATACTATCCGCTGCACTTGAAGATTGCTTGTTTTTACCATAGTTAAAGTGCACACCCGTTGGGTGCAATGTCGCGGGTGCAATGTCGAAAATGTTTTTTTGCATAGTAAAGCCTATGGGGAAAACTAAAAAAGGATACGTCATTGAAGAGTTTTAGTGAAGTACACTTTCTTGCAACTGCACATCAGGAACTACAATGTACTTATGAAACCTATTGGAACCCTGACTTACTTCCCGCACTT